CTCCGTCCACATGTGCCGGCACGATCACACTCGAGGATTCGGTTCCCAAAAGGCTGATTGGAGGCGGCAGGTCGATGCTTGTCTGTTGATGAGATGTTGAGACATTTCAGGGAAAATGAGGAAACCCCAGACAGGCTGAGGCGAGACTGTTCAAAGAAATCTCAGTAAGGCTGTGAAGTCTTACCTGATGTTTTACTCAGAAGACGTTTCACCTTGTTTGTTATTTTTTAATAGTGATGCACCGATCGATCGGCCAGGGACCAGAATCAGACGATTTCCAGTGTTCTCGACTGGCTGATCAGTCTCACACGTGTCCAATCACAAAATAACAAGTCGGTCCCTTTCATGCCGACGCCCACAGCGGCGCAGGCAACAGCAGCGGCACTTTGCTCACTGCTGCATGCTAAGATGTCGTCAGTGTGGAAGCGGAGAGTTACCTCACCCGCTGAACACAAACTTTTTATATTTGTAAATCTGTTGCACATGCTTTTGTTTATCCAGGTAAAATTATTTTTCATTTAGCAGAGCTTTTTATAACAAAGAAGAACCTCACTGCAGTCTGTACTTTTATTATGAAAAAACTGATTTCACTTTACTTTGTACAAGTTAAAATCTTTTATCTGCAGAAAACAGAAATCAGTTTAAACCTTTCAGTGAAACTTTATAATAATGCAAAATATTTCCTGGCAGAAGAACGTGCTGATTGGTTCGGACAGTTTGTGGTGAAATAAAGTTTTTGCAAGTTTTTCAATGATTCATCTGTGTTTCAGCTTTATCAATAGAAATTTCCTCACAACAGGAGTTTGGATCAGAGTGAACAGATGTAACATCACCAGGCGCTTATCAAGGAGCGCTATCAGCTGATCAGCCTGTTTTATCAGGTTTCACACCACAAAGAAATAAACATGGTGGATCAGAGTGTGAAGCACAGACGAGTCCCACCTGCACAGCTGCACGATTCATTTTAACTTTATTTACAAAGACAGGAGTCTGTCCATGACGACGAAGTCATGATACAATCAGAGGTAACTACACAAACTGAGTCACGTTACCTGATGTGAGTTCCTGCAGCAAGCAACAGTCAAACGCTGCCTCCTTGTGGGTTAAGGAGGTATTACAGCCACTCGTGTCCTGCTGTTTGTGTTTGAAACCTCGCAGTGTAGCAACTTTATGAGCAGTTGTTGTCATTAGTTATTGTACTGCTCGTTTCCAGCTCCATGTTTTTACACTTGGACTCAACCAGAGCAGCTTTGCATGAGTCGCAGTTCAAAATAATCCTTCTTTATCTTATACTGGGCTTTGGTGTTGCCCCTTAGTACATTCTCTGTCTGAAACAAGCTCCTCCCACTTTAAGCCAGCTGTCTTCTAGAAGTTTCCTTCATCACTTAGCAGCCATCTTGGTAACACCTTTGGGCAGCTGGTTTGAAGCACAGAGTGTCAAACTCAGTTTGATTCAGTGACGAAATGAACGGATTCATTTAAAAAGCAGTTGTGAGCTCAGGACAGCTGCAGGTACAGAAAGCTTGTTGTGGTCAGATGATGCCGAC